CTGAAAAATAATTACTCAAGTAAAGTACAGATAACCAAAAATTCTACTTAAGTACAGTAACAAAGTATTTGTACTTAGTTCCTTTACAACTTTGATTAACAGGCAGTCTCGTGGGGATGGGACTAATGCCTGGTCCCCACATGTATACAGAACCAGTTACAGGTGTGGGGGTTGGGCTCAGGTTAGTTTTAGTGGAAATGTTCAGAGTTAGGAAATAAAATTACCAGAAAATGAATGGAAGTCAACCTACGGTCCCCACAGGGATATAAAAACAAACGTGTGTGACATGATATTCGGTGCAGAGGTAACGAAGTTGTTACATTTAAAAAAAGGAAGTTGTTACATTTTTAATGCAGGGAAGAAGTAATTAAGAATGAACAGCAGCTACACAAACACTTTGTGTTGTGCTTTAGCTGCCAGCAGTTTGTCACATTCTTGTTTTTATGTGTTGTACTAAATTAGTGCAGCTTCTCACAGAGTAAAACCACAAAATACACAATGATCACAGTGTTTATACAGTATGTTCATTAGTCACAGTTTAACTAGTCAGGCTAAACAACATCCTGCTGACTGTATCATTACACCCTGGTTTGATCTGAAAAACACGAAATATAATAAATATTTTTCATGGCAGGGGATCAAAGATAGAGTTGTGTCATTTTAGGTCCAACTGAAAATAAGATTATTTGATGAGATGTGAGATCTGACTCACAGTCTGTGTTGTGAAGTATGCTCAGGTACCACCAGTGCAGCTCACTATTTGTAAAAGTGACAATTGTCATCACGTTTGTTGAGTTGTGTTGTCTTCATGTGTTAGGAGCACACAGTGATTCATTCCATTATGTCCACTGACTCACAATGGATTTTACTAAGAGACAAACAGGCTTGATTCCAACAAGTAAAGTTTTTATTAAAGATGAGTAAAACAGTTTATTTATTAATCTTTATTATTAAAGATGAGTGAAACAGTTTATTAATTAATCTTTATTAAATCAGACATATGTCATGTTTGTTTAACATCAGCTGGTTGTGGCAGCCATCTTGAATTGTTTGGATATAAAAGTGAAATCAGTGGTTCATCAGATATTTTGCTAACAGACAGGTTTATAGTTGTGTTTAAACCAACACATTGTGTTAGTGCTCTGGCTCTGACTTCCTGTCAGACATATTTAAGGTTAATTTCAGTTAAACTCTCTGAGTTGTTGTTATTTGTGTGTTTTTCTGAGGGCAGTGGCAGCCATCTTTATGAGTCCAAAACTTCATCATTTGTTTATTTTAATGTTGACTTCAGTTAAAACTTCTGCTGTGATTTATGAGATATTTTGCTAACAGAGAAGCGAACACGTAAGGTAAAGGTACTTTATTGTCTGTCATTCATGTTCCCATACAACGATGAACTGCTCTGTATTCAACCCATCACACATGACAAACACACAAGTGGAGCAGCGGGCAGCCATGTGACACACAAACACACAACAGACACAATCAAACAAACAAAAAAAGTAAATATAAAATAGTCCACAACTGTTTTCTAATTTGTTTTTCTGTTTTATGAGCAGTTTTACATTAAATTATGATAAAAAAAAGTTTGTTCACTGCAGAAACTGTCCACCTAACCAAGTTTTAAACCTTATATCAGCCAAAAAGTCTTTTTGATCTTGTTTTCAGACTGATTTACTAAACAAGAACTGATTGTGTAAGAATAATCATCTTGTTTTCAGAATGTGTAAGATTATTTTACTTGGTAAGATTCTTGAAATAAGAAAAAATGGAGTCAAATCAAGTATTTGAAGAATCTTATCAAGTAAAATGTTCTTCCTCCACTGGCAGAAATGTTTGACTTAATTAGAGTCAAATMTTCAGACTAACAAGACAAATAATCTTACACATTCTGAAAACAAGATGATTATTCTTACACAATCAGTTCTTGTTTAGTAAATCAGTCTGAAAACAAGATCAAAAAGACTTTTTGGCTGATATAAGGTTTAAAACTTGGTAAGATGGACAGTTTTTGTAATGTTTTAAGTTCATTTTCATTTTTTCACAAGTGCCACAGTCAAAGTACTTTATTTATAAAAGTGTAACAAATTAAAGCAACAGATATAGAAGTAAAGTTAAAGTGTTGTTATATATAAAATGTGTATGTTGTGTGTCTGCTCTTTAGAGTGAAAACACAAAGTGATTTAATTGTGTATGAGTCAGGTGTGGCTGGTTGTGTGTGGCTGNTCCTAATGATGACCAATCAGTGTGAGTGACGGCAGCCAATAGAAACAGAGAGGTTCCCTGTGATGAACCAATGATGAGGCCACATTGTTAAACCTTCAACAAACCCCCTGAGGATCTGATGCAACAGGGCTGCAACTCAACTCACTGCTCCGAGCCGCAGCACTGTGTCCCTCCGCCGCTGCGCCTCTGAAACTAGTGCCAAGACAACTGTCTGCTGTAAACACTCCTAACCGGGTTTTTAGACTTTTAAAGGCAGATAACAGCTTGTTTTACTCTGCCGACATTATTCAGATGAGCTAAAATGCAGTTTAGGAACTTCACAGGCGGATTTAGTTAAAAGGCGCAGTTAATGTGCGGGTTTCTTTGTTAAACACCACAGAAGAAGTGAGTGAAGTGAGAGCAGAGCTGCAGCAGCTGTCAGCAGCACAGGGGAGGGGGCTGAGGAAGCCCCCCACCTCCGCTCCATGACGTAACGGGGAAGTTTGGAAGCGGCGCATTGATCTGCTCGGCTGTGATGAGGTCCGGGCGGTCGGAGTTGGAGAAGTAGCGGATTTAAAAACTTTCTGTTTGTAAGTCCTGTCCGTGGTTAAAGCGGCGCACAGAGACTTGTTGAGTTGTTAAAGCCTGATAAAAATGTGTGTTTGACGGACACACACTTCCTGTCGGCTCTGAGCTTCAGTGTTTGGGTCCTGCTGACTTCAGGAAACTATGGGGTAAGTCCTGAGTCCAGCTGACATCTTTAACTTCACTGCACAATTATTCAACTTATTATAAGACTTTTAACTGTTACTGTTGTTTTAATTTATTTTCATTGAAAATTAGGGGAAAATTTTTAATTTAGTTATCAAACATAAATAGGAAAATAAAAGAGATTTTTGTTTGTATTATTTTCTAAAACCACATTTTTTGAAAAAAAGTGTTTTTTAAGTATGTTGTTATTACAACATTATAATGTTAAAACTTTCTAGTTTTATTTTGTATACATTTTATTGTGTATTTCAGGATAATTAAAATTAATTAGTTGAGTCAATTAGAGTTTGATCTGATTGGTGTAGAAAAGTGTTATAAATAATAGGTAATTTAAATTAATTTAGTGTAAAATCAAAATTTAAGGTCTGTTTTTAAATTAAAATTCACATTTCATTGTTTTATTTGCTTTTCAAGCAGAAAGTAGAACCGTTGTTGACGTTTGTTGTTGTTTGTTGTTGTTTGTTGTTGTTTGTTTATTTTCCCGCAGGTTTCCAGGTGTTCCTGCGTTCAGCCGGCGCACGCTTTGTGCTTTTGGACGTTTTAATGGAGGCAGGCGACACGACGGCGGCATCGATCCTTCGCAGGAGAATTCCTCTCGTTTCCACAGGCGAGCTCAGCGCTCCCCCTTCCCCACGGGCTAGCCGCAGCCAATCACGGCCCGGCGCGGGGGCGGGGCCAGCAGAGAGGCAGCGCTTAATTGGTGAGTTTTGCCGAGAGTCTTTTTTATTTTTGCACATCTCGAGGTGGGAGCCGCAGTGCAGCACGGGGCTAATGTCGGACAGTGAGTACAGCTAAGTGGATTTTTATCGAATGCAGACGATGCTGTTCAATCATTTTCAGATGATCGGTTAGTTGTTCACTTCGATCTTTTCGGACGTGTTGCTTTTTATTTTTATTTACGCTTGCCTTTAATCAGTGCTCTCAACCTTTTTTTTTCCTATTTTTTTTTCATTCTATCTCAAATATTTTATGCGAAGATTTAAAAAAACAGATAGTTAATTGATTTTCGTGCCATTTGTGATTACTTCTTTAGGTGATGGTCACTCTGATTGGATGACGGAAAAAGTTGATTTGTCTTCATTTGTGTCAACGAGCGAGTCCTCTCCCAGCTCCTCTCTCCCACCCTCACCGTTAGAACAGGATGTCAAGGTGCCCTCGGACCTGGAGGTGATGACCTCCCTGCTGCAGGAGGAGCTGGCTCAGCTGGAGGACTACTTCCGCTCCGAGTCCACGTCCACCGCAAACAAGTTGGACAAATCCTCAAAATGTGACAAGGTTGCCCAAGCCATGGGCTCCCAGTCTTATTACCAGTTACCCTATGGCTCGTACGGGACCAGCCAATCAGAAAGCAGCCCTCTGGTAGTTACCCTGGCAACAGGGGAGCTGGACCTGGCCAGCTTTTGCGGTGGTCCCATCAACAGAACCAAAATTGCACGGCCGGCCCCGTACAGCTACCACCACCGCTACCACCACAACAACAGCCGGCGGCTGCTGGGCGAGAGCGTGAAGGTCGGGGAGGAAGTGGAGACGTGGGGCTCCAGGGGCTGTTACTCAGGGAGCGCAGAGTTGTCGGTCAACCACTACTCCACACTGAAGACCGTCAGCAAGAACAGCATGGGCAGCGTGAAGAAGGTCCGAGAATGTGCGTTATCGTTGAAGGAAGAGGAAAGTTACTGCTTCTCAGAGGGAATGTTTTGTAGCGAGGAGATTGCGCGAGGTTTCTGTCTGGGTGGCTCGTACGACGGCCACCACAAGAGGGAGGCACAGCTGATGCACAACGTGAAGGTAAGTTACGACGGCGCGGGGCTGGAGGTCCTGCACTGCAGCAAGGATGGAGGACTCTCTGGAAGCATCCCCCAAGAGACAATGGTGGCCGGGGACAGCTACTTCCACCAGTCCATGGGCGGCTCGGAGCCGTACCACAGCTTTATAGGAGAGCTGGAGCAGCCGGCACAAGCACAGGCTGTGGAGCCCCAACATGGCCACTACCTCTATCCAGAATGCCTTGCAGACCAAAGCTACGAATGTCTGTCCAGAGGGGAGGGCGACGGGCCACTGATGGGACCCCCCATCCACCGCCCCACCCAGCGGTTAAAGGATGAGCCCTGCTCCATCAAGCCGTCCCTGGTGATGGGGGCAGCGTCTCTGGATGCCAGCACCGGAGAGAGGAAGCAGAAGAAGAGGGACCAGAACAAGACCGCTGCCCACAGGTAAACCTGTTCCCCTTAAACAGCGTTCCCACGGACCCTTAAAGTCTTAAAGTTACTGATTTTTTTACTTCAGTAGAAAACAAAACTTCATTTCTGCATCATCAGTGTTTTTTTAATACTATAGTAAGGAAGAAAAAGAAAAAGTAGAAGAGAAATATAAGAACTGTAAAGAGAGAAACTGATAGAAATGAACACTAATAACACACAGGACACCACACCTGACATCTGACCATCAACAAATGACAACAAACACCCAGCAAACACATTTAAACAGATGTATGTACATATACACATACACACATATATAAACATACACACACACACACACACACACACACGTGTTTGTTTCTCGACCCCGTGGGGACCTTCCATTGACTTCCATTCATGTTTTTTAGACTTTATAGTCTAACCCTGACCATATACTCTAAAATTAACCTCACAGAAACTTACCTGASCCTAAAACTAACCTAAACCTTGGTCCTAAACCTAACTCCACACCTGGAACATGACTTTGGACCCGTGGGGACCTGACATTGGTCCCCACGATTCACTTCGGTCCCCACCTGGCTGCTTTTTTTTGTAAAAAATACCCAACGTTGTAGGAAAAACCCGTACACACACACACACACACACACACACACACACACAC